GACTCAGGTGGGATGGGTGTTGGGCTTGTGAAAGGTATAAGTGAGCATGGAAAAGCTTTAAACCACATCTTGTAAAAAATGTCTCCGAGTGTCATTAGAGATTCAACCAAGTTGTCTGAATTGAGCTCATCAACAGCCATCGTAGCCTTGTTCATGAGCGGTATGATGTCTGTGAAAAAGGGTAAAAAAATCTTGAAAACAGGGGAAAGTTTGTGTTTTGCTCTCAGGACTGAGGTCTCCAGCATCCACAGCGTGGATCCTTTAACGTGTCCACTTATGCAAGGGTCGTCTGTGGTGAGTATTGCAAGGAGCCATTTTCTCTCTTTGCCTGTTAAACTATTACACTCGGCGCCAATGCTCAACAACACGCATAATATCACCCAGAAGAAAGATTCCAAGTCATCCGCAAATGTATGAAGTATGGGTTCATCATCATCCCACACATTTAGCAATGGCCACAGGAGAACTGGGGACATTGTATTCATCAGTGCAATCACCCATAGATGAGAAAATGAAAATGAATGGGTAAAAAAAAGATTGAAGACAGTGCAAAAAAGAAAATGAAATGAAAATAAGGGGCCATCCTCTACAGCCTGCAGTATTAGCTCCTGCAGCTAGTGGAGCCCATCAGTCTCAGTCAACTGATCATACCAATATCTCTCCAAACAATCAAGTCAGGCATCTTATCTCTCCTTATCTAATCACTTAGTCTTATCTATCTTATCTTATCTCATCATGTGACTTTAAGTCACATGATTACTTACCAAGCACCATGCTGCAACCTCATGTACATCAGTCAGTGCCTCAAGGCTGACACATGCCTACATATATATAAGTAGCCACATCTGCATGTACATACCCTAGCTTTTGATTTCATCTATATACCTTTGCCTTAAAACCACTTGCTTGAGATTGATAAGTTATACCTCCATTAACTCGGTATAGGGTATAGGTTGTTATATAATCAAAAGCTCATAACAAGGCACCTGGTGAATGATCAAAACAAAGACTATCCTAATCATCATCCTATTCCCGACTATTACCTTCATCCTATTCATCACACTAAAACTTTACTTTGAACTCACTTGTCCCAATGTTCCCATCCTCACCAATCAACACCATCACCACCTTCATCCCAAAACACCCCATCCTCATTTTTTGAGACAATCCCCCTCTCAGCTATCATCCGCCCCTATAACCCAATACTTAGAGATTGTAACAACATGGAATCATTACAATTTTATTAGCTACATTTTTACCTACCTTTCCATTTTGCATACCCCTTACCAGGTTGTGCACTTGCGTCCGCCAGTTGGGGAGGAACTGAGAGCTTAATAAGCCGGTTACATCTGGATAACTGTTTGGACCCAGACTTATTATGAATACATTTTACCATAGTTTTATTAGTTACCTTTACGTACACAGTAGTAGGGGACAGAAGAGGAACCCTTTACCAAAAAGAGAAACAATAGAGAAAAGGAACTTGCTATATGATGTGTAGATTGTTACGATAACACAATTTCCGGACATCTCCTTTTCTTTTTATTTCTCCGCTTTAACTTTATACCTTAATTGCCACGCAGCATTTCCCTTTCTCGCGCCGCGTTGCCTTCCTCTTATTTTAGACTTAACTCTCTCACACAGTGGAGCTGGCCATACGGGCTAGGCCCTATGACATCATCAAGCCACTGCCTTCATCAACTGTATAGTACACATGTACAAACAACCTGTAGTAGTATATATACCCCAATAGATCCAGGAGACTCCTCAGCGAGTCCTCCTGTTGTATACCAGCTAACTCACTGCAGCCCAAGGGGTACCCACTCCCCATCTTCCACTACCTTTATAGTGTGTTCCTGTGTGCGCCAGAGTAACTAACTCTTGGTTGTTACATAGATCCAATCTTATTAATTGGGGAACCATATATTGCATACCTTTTGCATTCGTAAAACAAGATACTTCACACCAGAGCTCTCCTTTGACAATATTGTACAACACCTGGAAAAAAACAGACCCACACATACTATCCCCATCAACACCAGGACTGGAAATGCAGGACTTAGCAGATGCATTACCAGCTACTCTGTAAAGAGAACCATCACCAACACCAGAATTCTGGCGGATGGAAAATTTAGAATTAATGATACAAATGGCCGTGAATTTGGCAATTCAAGACAACAGTGCAGAGTGGGAGCAAAGATTCCTACAAAAAGACGAAGAAGTTGCCAGCTTGCAAAAAAGGCTCACTGTGCAGCAGCAACAGATGGCCCGGCCCGCAGAAAAAGGAGCAGGGTATCGGAAAACCACATTAACTAAACCAGAGCCATATGACTGAAATAAGAAGAAGTTCCGGAACTTCTTCAAATCCCTACAGCTTCATTTTGGGGCTAACCCAGAATATCTTGCAATAAAAGTTAACAAGGTCAATTTTGCACCATCTTATATGACAAGTGGAGCAGTAGCTGCCCTGAGGACAGAATGGGTAGAAAAAAAGATGTTGGCAGATGAAAGAACAGACATTGAGGAAGGAGAGCTACTGGGGTGCACTCTGACTAGAGGTCACCAACTTTGTACACAGGGCCTTTAGTCACGTGACATGCAAAATTGAGGTCAAAACTTTTAAATGGCAGGGCACACAATTTCTCATTGATATATCCTTTTACTTTGGTCTGCACAATATACCTTTGCTGTTTACATATGGCTAGGGGTAGAAAACTTGTGAGAAACCTCAGAATCCGTGTTGCTAATGCTCGGGCATCCCAACACCCACGAGACTCTTATGCACCCTTGCCTTCATTGAGTTCTCAACCTAATGTATCTGCATCTGCTCCTATATCTCCCACTCAAACCCATGAGTTCATTGGTCTCAGAATATCATCACAATCTCCAACTCCGAAGATGAAGAAGTCGGGTATCACTTGGATGATCTGCTATCAGAGATGGATGGGCAAGAGTTGAGAGATAGCCTGGATCTCCAAATGCAGGAGGAGATTTATTTTTTGGAGCAGATGAAGGAAGCCGAAAGACCTGAACCCAAAGAGACAGCGTTTTTGAACTTGATGAAAAAGCACACGGTTACAGACTGGAGGGTAGCCGAGTCCAGCAGGTCACTTAGATACAATGGGCAGTCAAAGAGAAAGAAACAGTATGATGCAAAAAAAGCTAGGGATCGTAACACAGCAGATGAAAAAGTCAGAAACTCGTCAGTAACATGGTCCAAATTAATGCTTACCTTTGTCCTGCAGATTCCTAGATCATCTGCAGCTTTCTTTCAAGCCCATTTCCTGCCCTCCAACTCCACAAAGCCTACACCTGCACCCAATATTGATGTGGATGATGCAGTCAATCAATCGGGTCCAAATTTGGACAAGGTCTTGTTTGGCGGGTATAAGTCGGATTTTCCAGAAGATGATCCACTCGAGCTGCCCAGTGATGATGAATTGGGAGTGGAGGGAGTCTATGAGGATGACCAACAAGCCAACAGTGAGGCTGAAGATGGTGGGGAAGAGAAACTATTAAGAACAAAGCTTGAAGGAAGTGTCTAGCCACTTGCTGAGAGCAATCAGGGACTGGAACTAGAGTCCAATGTGAGTAACTATATTATTAGAGAGTATGACAGGTATACAGTACCTAGAGTCCAATGTGAGTAACTAGAGAATAGGAAGCATTGGACTCTGCAGTACTGTCCGAAGTTTTGTAAACAAAGGTAAACAAAGCAGCCACAAAGACAATGGGCAACAGTAGGAGGCGAGCAGATAAGAGAATAGATAGAGAAAGGAATGAAAATATAGAGGTAGCACAAAGGTGCAGAATCACCAAAACTAACACTCCCCCCTGATGCTGCACCTCCCAAGCATCAGCTCCCCCCTGATCTAATAAGTCCCATCATCTTCCTGAACACTTCCACTTTAGGCTTGGCAAGAGCCTTGGTCAACAATTCTGCAGGCATTTCAGCAGTGGGAACAAAGGTAGGAGCAATCTGCCCAGAGTCAACAACATCTCTCAACCAATGCCATCGCAGATCAAGGTGTTTCATCCGACCATGGTGCTCAGGGTTTTTGGATACAGAGATGGCAGATTGGTTGTCAATATGAAGGGTGGAAGGAGAGGTGATAGGATAGCCCATTTCCTTCAACAAATTTCGCATCCAGCAAATCTCTTTGCCAGCCTCAACAGCAGCAATGTATTCTGCTTCAGTGGTGGACAGAGCAACAATGTTCTGAAGCTTGGAGCTCCAGGAGACAGCACCAGATCCCATCTTGACAATATAGGCACCAGTAGAACGACCAGAGTCCTTATCACCACCATGATCAGCATCAGAGAAAGTGGTGAAGAGTTCAGTGGAATTGGGATCAGGACCAAGGACAAGGGAATGATCAAGGGTGCCTTGCAAGTAGCGGAACAAGTGCTTGACAGCGCTCCAGTGAGTAAGACCAGGATTAGAGTTATATCTGGCAAGGACTCCAACAGTGTAGGCAATGTCAGGACGAGTGGTAGTAGCCAGATAAATCAGAGCACCAACAGCAGCAAGGTAGGGAATGTCCTTCATCAAAGCAGCATCACTGGATGTTTTGGGAGACATGTCCTTGGTGAGGCGCAAACCAGGATCCATGGGAGTGGACACAGGCTTGCAGTCCTTCATGCCAAAGCGCTCCAAAATGTCCAGAGTGTACTGATGTTGGGAGAGGGAGATGGTGCGATTACTTGGGTCTCTAGTGATGGAAATGCCAAGTAGGTAAGAAGTAGGGCCAAGATCACGAAGCTTAAAGTGCAGGGAGAGGTCCTTGACAGCTTGGTCAAGTGCAGAAGTAGAAGTGGATGCCAGTGTCATGTCATCAACAAAGACAGGGAGGATAATGCGCACATCAGCTCTGTTAAAGACATAGATGGCAGAGTCTGAATAAGTACGCTTGAATCCGAGTTTTTCAAGCACAGTGTGCATCTTCTGGTTCCACATTCTGCCTCCCTGCTTTGTCCCATAGATGGCCTTGTCCAACTGGCAAACAAGATTGCGAGGACCCTGATGGAATCCCTCTGGCTGATGCATGTAAACCTTGACATCCATGACTCTATTCAGGAATGCATGGGAAATGTCAATGGAGCGCAAATGGAGGTTGTGGATGGCTGCAATGGCAAGGACAACTCTGATGGATGATATGCGGACAGTAGGTGCAAATATTTCGAGGAAATCAAAGCCAGGGCGCTGGTTATAACCTTTGGCCACATATCTGGCCTTGTAGCGCTCAACAGTGCCATCCGAGTTGCGCTTGATCTTGAAGACCCACTTTCCACCAATAGCCTTGACTCCAGGAGGTAGTTCCACTAGTGACCAAGTACCATTGCGCTCATGAGCTTGAAGCTCTTCCATGGCTGCCTCTCTCCATTTATCTGCATCAGGACGCTTCATTGCATCTGCAAATGACCTAGGCTCAGCAGAGTCTCCAAAGTGTGCCACTTCATCATCAACTGCCTCAGAATCACTGTCATCACTCTCAATGGCAGGAGTAGGTTGTCTGTGTTGAAGCCACCATGGTCTAGGTGGTCTCCTAGCCCTTACAGGGCGTCTCAGTGCAATAGGCAAGTCAGGAGAAGGTGAGCGATGAGGAGGGTGATTTGGAAGCTCAGGAGGTTGATTCACAGGTGGTTTTGCATCAAGGTCCAAATGAGGCCCATTGTCAGGCAATGGTTGAGGCTGCTGAAGTGCAGCTGGTGGGCCTATATCTCCCCCTGGACCTGGTGCAGGGACATCCTCAATCAGGCCCAATGGCATGGATAGCGAAGGTGGAGTGGGAGGTGGAGGCGGGACATTGTCAGAAGACCTCTTCAAGCCAGGGAAGTAGCGCTCATCAAAATCAGCTCTCTCAGAGATAACAGTGTGCTTGGTGGTAGGATTGTAGAATTTCCATCCCTTGTATCCCTCAGGGTAACCAATGAACACACATTTCTCCATATGAGAGCCAAAGACGCCTCTTTTGTCCTTTTGCACATGCACATAGGCAGTGCAGCCCCAAACGCGAAGGTGAGACATGTCAGGCTTGCGTCCATACCACAACTCAAATGGAGTGGCATGGGCCACTGCATCAGTGGGACACCTGTTCCAGACATGCACCAAAGCGGACAGACATTCACCCCAGAAGCTGTTAGGCAATGCAGACTCTGATAACATGGCAGTGATACGCTCAGTCAGAAGTCTGTTTGCTCGTTCTGCCACACCATTTTGCTGAGGACGATTCCTGGTGGTATGCTGTCTGACAATCCCATGGTCATCTGTAAATTGCTCAAATTCCTTGGACATGTACTCTCCCCCTTTGTCATCGCGCAAAGCCTTGATTTTACGCTCCAATTGAGTCTCAGCATAAGCCTTGAATCTCTTGAAAGCATCAAAGACATCTGACTTGGCCTTGAGAGGCACAACAACACGGAATCGACTGTGATCGTCAATGAAGGTGACCCAGTAGCGATAACCAGAGAATGTGGGGGAAGAGACTTGGTGTACATCAGAATGGATGAGGTCCAAAGGATGAGCAGAGCGAGTATCAGATGAGGGGAATGGATTGGCATGCATCTTGCCAGACAAGCACGGTTCACAGACAGGATCAGGAGCAGCCTTGGATTCCAGTGTAAGCCCAGTGACCAGATCTCTCTGTATCAGTCTCTTGACATCAGCATGATGATGGTGAGCCAATCTGCGATGCCAGAGCATCAAATCAAGTGGTATAGTCGCAGTAAAATGTCCCAATTCAAGACAAGCAGCGGTAGATCCATCAAGGAATGCTGCATTGTTGTCATTGATAGTTGCAGTGAACAAGAGAGTGTTGTCACGCATAAAGGACATGGAATGAGACGAAATGGTGACATTGAAACCACTTTGACGAGTTAAATACAAGACTGAGAGGAGATTATTTCGAAGATCTGGTACATGGAGCACTCTAGAGAATTCCACAGCCCTAGCCACTTTGCCATTCATCACAGGATTAAACACCACAGTACCAACACCAGCTGAATAGACGACAGTGTGATCAGCCAGCTTGATTGGCACACGATATGGGGTATAGTGGTGCACCCAATGACGATGAGGTGTCATATGAGAAGTGGCGCCTGTGTCTGCATTCCAATCAACGTCAGCATCAAGTTGGAGAGGGCAGTGAGGATCAGAGGGATGAATGGAACGAAGACTTGCATTTCCAGCTGATTCAGTGACCACAGTAGATGAATTGGCATTGTTGGGCGAAGATTTGGGCTGCTGAGAGGTATTCTGAGAGTTGCTGGGGCCTGCCTGAGCCTTATTGCCACGCTTGTAGCGATTCTTAGCGCCCTCCGCCGCCTGTTGGCGACTGATAACATATCTGTGGCATTTATCCTGGGTATGACCAAGTAAACCACAGAAATCACACTGAATGCGAGTAGAGGTGGTGGATTGGTTGCAATGATGGCAGTTAGGATGGGTACAGGTGCTATTAGCAGTGGTAGACAAAGAATGCAAGGCAGAATCGACTTCAGCACGACGACGGCGGTTGACCTCTTCAGCAAGGAAAGCATCCCTGAGCTGAGTTTTATCCAAGGTGCCCAGAAGCAGTAGAGACGAAGTAAAGTGGGCATATTGATCAGGAAGCGCCCTAATCATGGCCATGCATGTCAATTCATCGTCCAATTCAGACAATGAGAAGCCAGTAGGACGAAGATTTTGAATTTGATGCATGCCTTCGTCAATTCTGGTCATGAGAGACTGCAGGGACTCGTCCTCCTTCTTTCTGATAGAGAAGAAGTCGTCATAGGCATTAAATCTCGTCCCAGGCTTCTTAGAGACGTGCACAATGGCCAATTTCTCCCAGATCTTGACAGGATCATCAATGATGCCATCAAGATGGATGCGCTGCTCTTTGGTGACATTGAGGTATAATGCACCAGCAGCCTTTTCAGCTCTCAACTCCCATTTCTCTATTGCTTCAGCGTCAGTCCCAGGACACTTTTCAGTGCCAGAGACAAGCCTCCACAGTCCCTTGGTCATCAACCAAGCTTGCATTTCACCACTCCACTGGGGGTAGTTAGTGCCAGACAAGGGATGGAACTTTGGGTCAGAGTCAGACATGATGGGTGTTGTATAAGACGATAGAGCAAATATAAATGATGTAGGAGATGGCTATAGGCAATGAAACAGTGGCAAAGACGATGGGCAACAGTAGGAGGCGAGCAGATAAGATGGTGAGGCGGTATAGAGAGGATATGGAGAGGGTGAAAAAGCGCAATGATAGGTCCAAATAGCGTCCAAAAAGCGTCCAAAAAGCGATCCAGGAGGGTGCTAAGGCTTCCTAGTGCTGCTACAGGGTTACGCCTGTGTTCCCCTTTCAATTCCACACTGATATTAACAGAGAAATCGCCTCGAGACAGTGTTGGTTAATAGGGCTTGTATATGAGTCAACAAAGTGACTTAAGCTCCCCAAACACCGCAGACTGAGAGAGGCTCTAGGCAACAGCAAACTGAGGCAATGCAGGCGAGCTTCACAGTCTATAGGCTTGTTCTATCTGATAATGGACAGAGTAGAGAAGATTGGAGCTTTATGCACACACCAGATATGCCAAAAAGCGAAAAATAGGGCAAAAAGTCGAAATTGATGCAGAGACAGATAAGATGGATGGATTGCCACCAAATCAGAGGTATAGGGAACGTTTTTATAGAGTAATAGATGGCCCAAATATTACAAGATCCGAGCACAGGATGTGGAGATATGGAATAGGGGCCAAAGTGATCAAATGATGATAAAGGCTCACAGAAAGATCCAGCTCAAATCCAACTGCTCTGA